CAGCACAATTCTTAAGAGCTATATCTTGGAAGCAGTCTATATGTCCATCAATAGATGATGGATAAAGAAAATGTGGTATTTACACATGATGGAGTACTACTCTGCCATAAAGAAGGATAAATTGAGTCATTTTAGGAAAATGGATGCACCTTGACAACATATAAAGTAAAATAAATCAGACACATAAGCTTAAATATTGCATGGTTTTTCTTATATGAGAAACATAAAATATGAATAAAGAGAAAAATAAAAGATAATAGAAGTAGATAAAATGTTTCTCAAATAGGAAAGTGATCAAGAGATGGAGGGAGAGGGGAGGAAAGGGAGGAGCAGAGGATGGAAAAAACAATTAAAATGTATATGTACATGTACCAGCTCCCCACAAGGAATGTAAACACTGTGTACTACAAACATGTACTAATAAAAAAAAAAAAGCTTGTGGTGACAGGTATATCTTCTAGATAGAAAACAGGCCATGATGAATACATAGAAAAAGGACAGGATATCCATGAAGAAGGTGAAAATTGATTCTTGGAGGAGAAAAAATACGGATATTATAATGGTTTTCAGTCAAAGGGCCACAATACACAAACAGATGCACAGTAGATGCACAGTATATTGCAATGTTAAAGTTCTACAAGGAACCCAAGCATGGTGGCACAGGCCTGTAATCCCAGACCTTGGGAGGCTAAGGCAAGAGAATCACGGTGAGTTCAAGGCCAGCCTAGCCTTGAATAGTGAGTTCAAGACTGGTCTGAATTACATAGAGAGACCCTGTCTCAAAAAACCAGGGCCAAAGGGCCAGGGATTTAGCTCAGTGGTTTTGCCATCTGCTGTGCACGCACAAGGACCCGAGTTCGATCCCCGGTACCCACCCCCCCAAAAAACCCCAAAATAATAACTACATTCCACAGGAAGTAGACAATGGGGAGGTTTCAAAATTTGATAATGAATAAAATGTTGAAAAACACTTGATTACATGAACCCAAAAGGCTGATCCACTAGCACATGGACAGCAGCTTTGCTAACTATATAGTGGTCATAGGGTAACCAATTTGTCCCAGGGGCTGGGGATTTAGCTTAGTGGGGCAGAACCTGCCTCGAAAGCGCAAGGTCCTGAGTTTGATCCCCAGTACCGGGAAAAAAGGCCCAGTTTGCCCTAGACTTTGCTAGATTGGGCACTGAAAGGGTCACATCTGGGAAATCGCCTATCCTGGGCAAACTAGAAAGGTTGTTCACCTTTCTCATAGGAGAAATCAAAAAAAGCATTCATATTTCTCCAATGAGGTGACAACAAGAAACAGACTGTCATGAAGGTTTCACAGCATTTCAGCAGAATTCCTGCAATAAGACTGGCATTTAAAAAAAAAAAGACTGGAATTTTCCATTTGCTTATCCCTACACTCAAAGCTCTCTGCACCTGACACCCAAGGCCATGGCACAGAATGTTACTCATGTATTGATTATGCCACTTCCTTTTCAACACCAAATCCAAAGTTAATATTAGGAAGATGAGGGCAGGCTCAGTAGCCAGCTGGTACAACCATATCCTTGTATATAGGCTGTTCAGTAAGACCTGAAGGAACTACAAGTCTGGGCCAAACACAGATATGTTGCTACTGGATTCTCCCTATCTCCAGGGTAGAAAATCACACAAGTGAGAATCCCGGGTATAAAATCCTCACAAGTCAGGAACAGCCTATGGGATTCTCCATACGTGCTTGACCAGCTTGAATCTTTTACAAGGTTTTTGTCCCAAAGACAAATTGAGTTTTGCTTTTGTTTTTTTGGTACTGGGGATCGAACTCAGGACCTTGTGCTTGGGAGCCAGGCAGTGGGACCACTGAGCTAAATCCCTGGCCCGACAAATTGTGTTATTAATACTAAGAATTTACCCAATGTCTCAGGCTCTTCTCTTCCTCTACTCAGCAGTGAAATCCTTGGTGAAAATAAAGAAAAGAAAAAGGTAGGATATTCCTTCTTTATCAACCACATATAATTAAAATATGAAGCTCTCTGTTGTAGAAAAGTAAGGCTCGCAGCTTAATGCAGACTCAGAGAAGGATAAAGTATTCATGCTCACTCAGAAAGAGAAAAGATTAGCTCCACAAGGACGGCTCTCCAAATTGACACCAAATCCAGGTGTTAGAGATTCCTGTGCTGCAGAGCGTAATCTAAGCACCAGCTGGGGTCCCAGAGAAAAATCCCTAGGAATATATAACCAAGGAGCTAACATTGTAAGAATGTTCAGATTAGCTCTTCTGAAAAGAGGCTGGCAGACAGCCTCTGCAGGGCAGCTTCACATAGGAAAGGATAGGAAATGAAGAAAAAGACAAGAGGCAAGATGAACAGGTCAGGGAATGAATCTACAAACATGGAAAAACAGAAGTGGAAGGCAACCACCTATTTAGAAAAAAAGTACAATTTCCCTTTAGAGACTGTCATGTCTTCATTTTTTGAAGATAAAAACAAACACTGACGGGCCAGGGATTTAGCTCAGTGGTTTGGCCACCTGCCTCACAAGCGCAAGGACCCGAGTTCAATCCCTGGTACCAAAAAAAAAAACACCAAACATTGATTGCATTCCTGTGTCTCATCAGTTTTCATGTATACTGCCTAATTTAACCACCTTTCAAAGAAGGGTGACTCTAAGAGGTGAAGTAACTCACTCAAGGTCATGGGGTTAGTAAATGGTAGGCAAAGAAGTAAAACTATAGCAAGTTCACTATACTCCAAAAATCCATTATGTCCTCTTCAAAAGACCAGCTAATTCATCTACAGTCAAACCAGATAATAAGGTTGCTTAACCATGCCATTTGGAGTTTTAAACATATATATGGTATCACGTATTAATGAGTCTAATCTCTCATATGGTTCCAAAATGACTCTGAAAAGAAATCCAAAAGTAGATTTTCAAAACTGCTTTGCACCATATAACTTAGGTGATGTCACCCCTACCACAAACAGTCCACACCACTCTAAAGAAGAGCAACATTGGGACCGGGGATGTAGCTCAGTGGTGCTACACCTGCCTGGCAAGAGCAAGGTCCTGAGCTTGATTCCCAGTACTGAAGAAAAAAAAAAAGCAACATTGGAGGATTAAGTTCTGGTGGGGTTATTACATTTACCTTGTTGCTTCTCAGTTTCATTTAATTAGCTCCCTTTTGTTTTCCTGCCAATGAATCACACCATGGCTCAAAACTGGCCTCAGCAGAGAAGCAAAGTAATATCTGATCTTCAGAAAGCAAGAGGAAAGAGGTAGAAAGGAAATATCAAAATTTTTCATTCCCAGGCTTCCACATGCCTCCTAACATATTTCTCATTTCCATCATCTATAAAACAGAGGCACTCAGTCTTTTCCATTGCCAATCATCAGAAAAGTATATGTATTAATTAGCAGATTAAACACACCAAACATCTGACAGACAAGATAAATCTGGTGTGACAATGCCATCTCAAAAATCCCAAGGCCATGTTCTCAACTGAAACCACAGACCGAGTTCTGACATGTTACACAAACATAGAGGCTAGTATCATTACTCCCTGGGCCCCATTAAAAGTTCATCCAATCCCAAAATCTGGCTGTACTTGTAACAGAAAAGTTTGGGGTGCAGTGCAAGCTAACACACACACACACACACACAATCTTTCACACTGTCAAAACAAATATTGTTAGTACTTGTAAACATAGTTTCTTCTCTTAGCAAACATGAAGATGTGTTTTAACCTGTCTAGTCTGGTTTAATCCAGCCCTTTCCATCCCTCAAAGCAATCTGCAGTTTGTTTTATTGAGATGGGAAAACCTAGTAGGCTTCATCGAAACGAGGCATTTACAAATGTTTATTAGAAAACGGATCTCACATGTGGACATATAGGTTCTCTCTCTATATATATATACACACACACATATATACATACACATATACATATATATATATATCTTTTTTTTTAGAAGCATCACACAGTCCTCCAGCTCCTACAGTGCAAAGAAAAGCCCTACTGGCTTCTAGGATGTTGGGTATTTTATAATTTCTGGCCTTTCCAATGGAGGCCCATTTCAGGGCCTCATGTCAAGTCTTTTTCTCCTGTCTTTTGAAGCAGAGATTTTCAAAATCAAGGATTCCATGATTACCTGAATGTGAACCACCTGGGCTGAGGACTGCAAGCGCCCATGCGCCACCTTATGAGAAATTTCTAGAGAATAAAGCCCAGGAATATGCAGAAATTACCTAGGAGACTGGAGACACACCAAAGCCTGTAACCTCTAAGCTAAAGGCAAATCTTTCATCTGCCAGGACAGTGGGAAACACTCAATGGGAGATCAGGGCGCAATTTCACATGAAGAATCAGAGGCCTCGGCCAAGAACCAAAACGTCAACACTGAAGGAGTCGGAGTTCAACATCGAATTCACTCCTTTGGACAAGATACGGAAAACAGGGAGAAAAGCAATAGGTACGGAAACTAGAACAGAGGAAGAGCAACAGCCAGTCTCGGACTCCCTCTGCTGCGCTGAAAGGATTACTGAAGACGTTTGACTGGGAAGGGCAGAGAACGCGAACCTCGGGGACACTTGTGTGGGTGTCTCGCTGTGGAGACGGGGGGGGGGGGGGGGGGGGGGGGGGGCGGGTATGTTGGGACCCCGGAACACTGCAGGGAAGGTGCCAAGGCCGCTGGAGGGAGGAGGCCTGGGCAGCCCCCTCATACCCCCGCCCAGCTCCAGGGCCGGGCGGCCCTCACCGCCCCTACCTTCGGCTTCCCGCAATGCAGCCGAGGGGCAGACACAACCCCCACAATTCCACGCGGCCCCAGCGACAACCGGCTCCCGAGCGCAAACGCTGAGACTACCGTCAGAACCCGTGAGCACGCGGCTATTACGTCACTCACAGCCTCACCCAATTGTAGCCGGTCAGAACTGCCGACGGCCTCTTGGCTCCCCCGACAAGAGGGTGACCCCACCCCTTCGACTGCGTTAGGCCCCGCCCACTAGGTTGCCGGCCCACTAGCTTTCTCTTTCTCTCTCTCTTTTTAAGGTACCGGGGATCAAACTCTGGACCTTGAGGTTGCGAGGCAGGCGGCGGAACCACTGAGCTAAGTCCTCGGCCCTTACTTTCTCTTGCAGACTTCCCGGACTTGTTTTTGTTTGTGTCCTTCCGCCAAAGTGAGACAAGTCTGTGGTATCCACAGACCCGGTTTTGCTTCCAAACTAGAACTTCGGAGTTTATTTGATTTCATTGTCAACAACCTAATTTCTTTCCAGCGGAAGGATCCTCAGAAAACCAGAGGGGGTGGAAGGTAAAAATAAATCAAGCTGTTATGACTCAGTTTGTGACAGAAACTGAGCCTCAAGCAGTTAATAGTCCTTTGAAAATTCATGCAAAACAGACCAACTGTAAGTCACTCGCTTTACATAATTGTAGATTGTGTAAATATTTGAAAACGATCGATTATTTAAAAACATAAGGTCACCTGCAGTTCTAATTCTGCTCTGCCACTAAATGTCATACATATGTTATATACTGCACATATATTTACTTCTCATAATTTCATAAGATTGTAACTGCCGTCCCCTTTTATACATGGAGAGACTGAGACTCAAAGAAGTTAAACAATTTAGACAAGGGCTTGCAGTCAAGAGTGGTAGAACTGGCATTTCAGGCTTCATTTGGGTCCCTCCAACGTCTTGTTCTCTTTCCACTATACTGCCTGTTAGACCTTCCCCTTACCTAGACATGCTAAATCGCACTAGGAAAATGGAGGGCTCTGTACTGCCCTCAAAGCCCGGCTGTTACATCACGTGCAGCCTCATGAGTGGAGAAAAGGATAATCTAAACAAGCAGTGTCCCCAAATGCCATGTATTCCCCGAAGAGCCACAATCGATCTGTGGAGTTTTCTTCTCTATATATTGTGTGAGCTTTCAGCAGTCAATTTACCCTCTTGATTATGTTTACTTCCAGCAGGTAGGAAATGCATTTCACAACCATTGAGCAAAACTTGGTTAGTACCCTGGGGAGAAAGAACAAGGTCCTGGCAGTAGTTGTGTGGGTAGTGCCAGTTTATGAGGAAGGTCTATATTAAACACTTCCCGGGGTACTGGGTAGGAAAAGACAGGGAACAGCTAGCTCACTTTCCCATGGCTCTCTTACAAGACCAATGAGAAAAGCTTGGCCCAGGAATCATTCTAGCTTGTGTAACTGCGTACAGCCCCTGACTCACAATGAAGTTACATCCCAATAAACTTTCTAGTTGAAAATACTATATATCAAAAACGCATTTAATATATCCGCCATACAAAACAACAACAACAACAAAAATAGCTTGGGCCGTGGATTTAGCTCAGTGGTTCTGCTGCCTGCCTCACAAGTGCAAGGACCTAAGTTCGATCCCCGGTACCGAAAAAAAAAAAGCAAAAGCAAAAAAAACATAGCTTAACAACACAGAACACTAGAGTATTGACTGTTTACCCTCCTGATTGCATGGCTATCTGACACTGCCCCACCATCTCAAGGAGTATCTTATTGCATTTTGCTAGCCTGGAAAAGATCAAAATTCAAAGTACAGATCCTACTGAATTCCACTTTTATATCATCATAAAGTTAAAAAAATAATTCAAATTAGTGTAAGTCAAGAACTATCTATCGTGGACAGGTAATGTTGAATGAATATCTATTGCATGAGTGATGAATTACAGAATGAGCATTAAATTACATCAAGCCTGACACACATTGTAAAAATATTAATAAAGTGGTATAAAGCCAGGCATAGTGGCACATGCCTGTAACCCCAGCACTCTGGGAGGCTGAGGCAGGAGTATCACAAATTCAAGCCCATCCTGGGCAACTTAGCAATTTATTGAGACAGTGTCTCAAAACTAAAAAAAAATAAATAAAGGGCTGTGGATTTAGCTCAGTGGCACCATGCCTGCCTCACAAGCACAAGGTCTTGAGTTTGGTCCCCAGTACCAAAAAAAAAA